TGGCGGATCAGCCGGTTCCCCACGCTGTCCACCACCTTGTTGCAGCGTCTGCCAGAACTCGTGGAGCCTCTGGTCATCCGTCTGCTTCACGTAGTTGTCCACCAAGACGCGAATCTCCTTCGCAAGATCAGTCATAGGCTCGTACGAATCTTCAATAGATTGTAGACCTTTCCATCCGACCTTGATCTCGTAGTCCTTGATGTTGTCGTTCCACTGATGGCCCTTGAGCTTGTCCACTGCTAGCACGATGCCTTGTGCTGAAATGTGTTCGAGCAGCTCGTCCGTCACCTCCAGGCTGTCATCAGCGTACATCTTCAATCTCGAGGCGTGCACGTCCAGTTCTTCACCGGTTACCAAGTGCTGCACTCGAAATGAGTGAGTGTCGGCACGCACCACACGATACGGTCCCACCCACGTCACTCGTAGCTTGTTGCTTTGCTTCTCATCCACTCGAGAACGCAGAACGTAGTCACCCACCGTGAAGTTCACCAAATTCTCACCGCGCTCGCGCTTCTTGTTGAGCAGGCGTTGCTTGAGCCTCTTGTCTTCAACAACACAGTGCATGGCTTGTATACTCTCACGTAGGTCAGCGAGATAGCCGTCGATCTCGTCACTCGTAGGTACCTGCTGTAGTCTCTTAGCCTCAGGTAGGTAGAATTCTTGTAATGGAGTCGGGTTCTGTAATCCAGTAAAAAGTTCCAAAGGTGATCGGTTCCCCAGCGATGGCACGGCGGTATGGTTCAAATTCACCTGAACCAGCGGGACCAGATTCACCCAGTCCTTCTGTCTCACTTTGTAGGATAGAATCATCGCCTTGATGACTTGGAGTATGTCTCGATTCACTCTCTCGACAGATCCGTTCACCCACGGACTGTAAGCGGTCGTGAAGGTCTGTTGTGTACGCAGTCGGTGGCTCAGCTCCGTTATCACTTCATTCTTGAAGTGTGAGCCATTGTCCGACACCCACACGGGTGGTACTCCAAACCTTGAGTGCCACGCCAGTAGCGCTTCAGTCGTCACTCTGCTGTCGGCAGTGTCCGCCACTATCAGCTCGCAATAGTGTGTAGCATGGTCTTTCAAGACCAGTAGGTACTTGCTAGATCCGTAGCTTGCTCCCATGTACAAGAAATCAAATGGAGAACGCCATTGCGTGTGCTGCAGTCGATCACTTCACCCCAGGGTCGTGGGATGATTCTCCCTCCTCGACAGTGCAGGCACATCAAGCAATCGTTCACAAATTTAGCCACCGTCTCCTTGATCTTGTCGATCTTGAAGAGTCGACCAAGGTGGGCGGTCATGGCTTGTTGGCCACGGTGTCCTTGGGCTCCGCAATGTGCAACGATGCACAGTCGTTGTATGAGCTCAGTCGCTTCACGCGGCACCCAGATCCGGTTGTCCACCGTGATCACACCGTCCGGAGTAGTCGCCGCTCCCATCGGCAGCTCGTACTTCGGTCTGTGCGTTCCTTGCCCTGTAGTCCGTAGTCTGTCGTAAGTCCATCAGGTCGGCTGACTTCTTCACCGGTAGGACGGGGCTCGACCATCGGCTCTTGGGGTTCTCGTAGACGAGTCCGAGCTCTACAAGACGGGCATTAAATTCATGTAAGAACTTACGAATGTGCGGAGGATATTTACGGGGCTTACACTTTGTTGGACGAGCCCCATCCTTCAGACGCACTTCGAGTGGCGGGACATTTGCCGGTGGGTCTCCACGCAACTCCAATCTCCACACGTCATACGCGTGCACAATCGTACGCAAAGTCTCCACATGCTCCAACGGAAATCCATTCTCCACGGCACGGTCGATCATTCTCTCCACAGCGGCATAAATGTCGTCATCTCCACATGGCCCCGATCCATCCACCTTGGCGGGCATCTCGTCCGCTTCCAGATCAATCGGGTCGCCACTGGTCTCATCTTCGTCGCGTGTGGCCAGTTGTTCCAACTGGTGATCCACGTCGATGCCGAGTGAGGTCAACAGATCGTTGCCCACTATGAACTCTCCGTCGTCGACGTCCATCACGAGAACGTCCACTGCGTTCATCGGCTCCACTGGTCCGACGGCAGTGTGGATCCTTACGTGTAGCTTGGCCTTCCATTTGGCCGTCACTGTCGTTGATCCGAACGTCTGGTTCGTGACTGGAACATCGAGTTCCTCGGCGATCACACTTGGGTCCACGGACTTCAGCTCCTCCCAGTGTGATCTCCCGATCACTGTGTAGTCCGATCCACTGTCGGGGCAGTATGGCAGCTCCAGCTTGCCATTCAAAGTTACCACTCGATCAGTAGATGGTAGCAGCTCTCCTAGCCGCTTGAGTCTTGTCTTCTTGCTCTTACGAGCCTCACGCAGTTTCTTCAGGATCGCCTCCTTCTCTTCCGGAGTTGCCCTTGTGCACTCACGTAGCCAGTGTAGCTCCTGGCACTTCGGGCATGGTCCTGGCGGAGGTTTCGTCGAGTTTGAGGGCCTTGGCTTCGAG